GCTGACGTTTCGGGCCTAGACCCGAAACGTCAGCCTTCCTGCTCCTATGATGCTGCTTGGCCTGCTGTGTTCATCCAGCTCTACACCTTGTTATCTCAGATTCTCCAGCATCTGCAGTTCCTACTATCTCTGATATCAGTTTAAGAACTCCATCCTCTGTGCATGCATGCAAGTGCATGTGTTTCTGTGTGCTGCCTTGAAGCACTGAATAGCCAGCTAAACCTATTAAGCTCTCTAATCAGACTGGGTAGAATTTTTTCAGCAGTCCTCCAGATCCCCAAAAGTGTCAGGAGGTCCCTCCTTGCCTGGCTTCAGCTACAGCCACAGGCTTTTCTGCAGAGGAGTTCCCCTGACCTCAACAATGGTGACCTGCCCAATGAGGGATTTTTTCTTCTAAACAAAACTGGCCATGAGCCGTTTCTCACATAGTGCGGACTGCTGACCCTTTTATTATTCATTGAAGGAAATGGGCTTCGCTGGCTGGGCCAGTATTTATCGCCCATCCCCAGTTACCCTTGTGAAGGTGGTGACGACCTGCCTTCTTGAATCACTGGTATGTGTAGGTGTGTAGGTGCTTAGATGGGAGTTCCAGGACACTTCAGAGATGTTAAGCGAAAAAGTGTAAACCTGCATCTGACTAGGACACACTCAGCATATCTGGGCTCTGAAGCCACAAATGTCCCAGGGTCATCCACCCACATCACCAAAGCCAACAAGCTCCACTGTAGGATAGGCTCCCTCCACCCCAGCTGCAGTTGATGAGACTTCAATTATATGAAGTGGGAGAGCAAAGAAAAAGAAAATTTCTTAAAGTGAATAAGTGGCACTACACATAGATATCACATTTGGAAACATATTGGCAGTTTAAAGCATCACCTATCTAAGCAATTGTCATTTTAGTTGTAAGTACAAGAAAGAAGTTACAGAGACTATCATTGCTTAGCACCATACCATGTTATAACATTGTCTGAAGGAGTGCTATTCTTTCCTGAGTGCTCATCATCATGTAAGATCTTGTGATTGTTTAATATGGGAGCACCAGTTGATGTAAAGCCTTTAAACAATTGTTAACATAACACACTTTCAGTTTTTAATTGTTAACATAAACTTCTTAAAGAACAAGAAAAAGAAGTACAAACCAAAAAGCTGCATTTACTTCTGGGATTGTAACACAGCTTTTGGCCTTTTGAGAAGCAACAAGTTTACAATCACCCAACTCAGATCTATTGTCAATTAAGTCCTGTCTGGCTTCTTGCACTTGATGCTGCACTGCTCAATATCCTCATATTCCTCGTCAGAAGACTGCTGCTGCCCACCTAGTTCTTTAGAACCATCATGTCTCCTCTTTGTCTGCTCCCATTGTGCAGAGCATAGCATGCAAGGATTATGCAGTACAATCTGATCAAATGTACAGCAAGGTCCACCCAGACTAATCCAAACATTAGAACCCCATGTTGAGGAAGCCTATAAATTGCCTCACAATGGGACTTGTGGAAGAATGAACTGCATTTTGTCTATGCTTGGCATAGGGCATTGTATAATGGAGTCATCAGCCTTGTTGGGATAGGATTGCTTTTGTTGGCCACTGGGACAGGATAGCCACACACCCCTTCCGATCATAAGTCATGGGTGACACAGTACTGTGATGGTGACCCAGGACATCTTGTTTGGTGGCAGCATTGCAGCTCAATCATCTGGAGGAAATGACACTGATAACAAACATTTTCGGCCTCCTGTACCTCCTCCGCATTCTGAGGGGACATTCAACTGTGATTTCTTCATATGGAGGTTGTTTGGCAACCATTGGAGTTTGCTGCTAGTCCTGGGCTTGCTGATGCATTTGTTCCTCTGCAATTTCTCTGTACCATTGTTGTGGCCCAGCCACAAAGGTGATGGCACTTGTAGGGGAATCCATTGATAATGGTTCCAATCAGGTTATGTGGAGAGTTTCAGAGACAAAACAGCTTCTTAGTAATGTGAGCATTCTGCAGTCACAACACATACAAATGAGAATTTACCACAGTTCTAGATACAATGCAATATGGAGGACTCTGGCAAGCAGGGCTATGGGATGGCTCTACACAGACCGTTGACATGGCAAAACTTTTCAGATGTATACAATATAAGACATGTGACATGGAAAGAGTAAATCACCCAAGAAAGGCAGCACCGAAAGTCTTGGAGGTATTATCAGAGCCCTCTCACTTAATGGCAATGTTGGTAGTCAATTATGGGAATTGGAGGCAACATGCTGGGTTGCAGAGGCGACAATAATTGTGAAGGGGACAACTCAAACGTACTGATGGGAGACAATAAATGACGGTTGAGGGGTACTGTGGGAGGGGGAGATCGTTAATGACCACCACCACCCTGGTTTTGATAGAGGGACATTTCATGACTTGTTTGGCATGACTAAGCTGACTTGAGGCTCAGAAGGTAAAGTGGGGAGATGAGCAGTTCAATAGATGGGGTGTGTAAAAATGTGGAGAAGATCAAAACTGATGGGATTGACAGGGACATGTAGGTTTGGTTAACTCTGCCACTCACTCCATGAAGATATCCCTGTGATGCCTTCCACATTACACGCTTGTAATGGATGTGAAAATGGCTGCTACCATACCCAGAGTGGGCAGAGGGAGTATCTTTTTCTCAGAGGGAGGAGGCTTCACTTTTTGGCAATGCGAGACCCTTCAAAGGGTAATAGTATTAAACAGTTACCCACACAGTGCAGGTTAAGGACATCTGTTAGCACAAAATGCTGTATATGGGCTTCTACCTATTGTGTCAGCTAAATCTTGGTCCCAACCACTCAACATTGCAAATCAATACTACTAATGGATGAGAGGCACAAGCTATCTTTTGCAGTGTGGAAAGATCCAACCTAGTTGCCTAAATAGCAACCACCTTCCAAGGCCCCATGGCCTGCGCAAGGTTCAGGAGCTGCTCACAGGGGCCATAAAATGTCCACATCATTATTGTATATGCAATGATGCCTTTCTTGGTTACTGAGGGGGTAGGGGGTTGGGAAAGAGTCCTCATTATTTCTGTCACACATGAAATCTATAGGTGCACCAAAAGATTTGAGCCCACAGACATCTAAATCAAGACAATATGTGCAATATCCATGTAGAGGCATCCCAAAGACCTCCTTGTTAGGGCCTCCATGTCCCAAAATTTGGAGAATGCTCTTCAAATGTTATTTATGA